AATGTTATGTATATTTAATGTGCATTATTTTGGGATATTTTAACACTCTATATTGACCTTGCCCAAAATCAAGTTCGTAGTGTACCTAACCAGTGACATTATTATGTATGCAAAAAATTCCTCAGCTAAAATTTTCTTTGTGAACGTTGATTAAATATTAAAATCATTGTTAATGTAAACTTGTTTACATTAATCTGTGTTATAAAAAATATAATCTTGATTCGGACCTCAGAATCTATTGTAATGGAAAATTTCATTAAGTAACATAGCATTTTCAGAAAATTGTAATTGCGACGTACGTCAAGTTGAGGGGTATATAATCTTTATTCAAACATTTTTCATCCTTGCCTTAACATCTGAGGAAGAAACAGTCTTACTGTTGTCTTCAATTTTTCATTTGGTGGATTTATTTTTAAACTATTGCTGTCTACAAATTCAAAGTGCTCATCAATAATATACTTCGATCGAACATTAAGTTGGAATTATAGTTAATTCAGATGAGGTTATTTTTAGAAAATATTATTGTGCATCATCAAAATGTTTTTAACACATCGCCACACGAAAGGCCGCTGGCACATTATAGCATTTGAGACTACAGACACATCTGCACATTCAAGTTTGGAACATAATTAGATTACCAATGGAATTTAATTGAACTTCATAATTTTGGAATTGAAATATAACGTTTAGGACTATATGTGATTTAGTTCACATACAGTAAGTTTCATTTTAAGTTTTACTCTGTATTCTTGGGAAATACATTATTTGTAGAATGTTAGAAAACTTGTTGGTTTCTGCTCTTGTCTGTTATTTAGTTTAAGACCATAGAATCGTAGCAGCAGAAATTTGTAGTGTATAAAAAGCACGACCATCGTTTTAAAAAGTGATCACGAAGCATCCGAACATTAAATCTAAAGTACGTGTGTACTTATTCTCGAGTTTTTATTGTGACAGCGTATAACTTGAATGGTGATTAAGCAGGAAAAGAAATGAACACCCTTCTTCAAAGTTGTGTGCGACATGATTTTTGTTCTGACCATTTTCAACCATGTCTTAAAGTGTAAGATCGACTTTTAAATGAACGTAATGAACCCATAATTGACAAATTTGTGGCAAATATTGGTTTCAGGGACAAACGAAAACCTTATTCTCTATCATATCTCGATAAATGTAATTAAAAGGTTATAAAATGTGTAATCACACTTAACCACACACACACACACACACACACACACACTCAAAAAAATCTAACATCTTCGGTCTATACCTTACTCTCTTCCTTGTGTCAGATAAACAATTTTCTTGCACAACAATGATACATTGTTGACACGTGACACCATGTCTACCGGTGACCTTAAACTGAATCATGTGCCAGAAACGCCCACGACTTCCACCCTCAGAACGGGTAAAACGCAAAATCTGACCGCCCCATTAATCTAGATTTTTATAACATAAAATATATACAAACATTTTTGCTTGGCTTAATTGCTGTTAAACAAAATGGTGAGAGGAGTCGAGCTACGGTTATTTATAACAGGATATTAACCTTTTGATATAATACTGGCTGTAAAAGTGTCATCTTGCCGCAACTTTCAGGTCGTTGCATTTTGTGTCAACCACGCCAATTTTATTATCACGTTTTAGAACTGTATGCAGCTGCTACTTGGTTTACTTATAGAAACAAACGATATTTATTATGGCTTTTCCGTGACCCTTGACAAGCCATAATGTTAGATTACACTGACGTTTGAACTTGCAGACGGAGAAAAAAAGTCTTGTACTAAATATTATTTATTTATTTGCAGTTCTGTATTTGCTAATTGATGATGAATGAAAAACTTTGAAAAGTACCATATGTAAAGCTCGATAGATTAACACACAGACACACACACAGACAACTACACACCCACACAAACAACCCCCACACACCCTTATATATATATATATATATATATATATATATATATATATATATATATATATATATATATATATATATATATATATATATATATATATATATATATATATATATATATATATATATATATATATATAATATGTTAGTTGGCTTCCGTTAGTCTCGAGAGTCGATGGAAATGCGCCCATGAAAGGTGTCCTAGTTTATAGCTGTGCAGCGTCTTCTGTGACTATAAAGTCCCACACGGGAGTGGCAATCCTTGCTGCAGTTGCTACACTTGAAGTATGACTCAGGTCTTGGTTGGGACTGCATCCTCTTCCTCTGAGATCTTTTCTCATCAGCGAGCTGTCGTAACTTTTCCTCGCTGGCTTTCAGACCTGTGTACAGAGCATGTCGCCAGCTGGACTTGTCGAGGGCAAGCTCTTTCCAGGTGTTGACCTCTATTCCAAGAGCTTTCATATCCTGCAGACATATATATATATATATATATATATATATATGTATATATATATATATATATATATATATATATATATATATATATATATATATATATATATATATATATATATATATATATATATGTATATATATATATGTATATATATATATATATGTATATATATATATATGTATATATATATATATATATATATATATATATATATATATATATATATATATATATATATATATATATATATATATATATATATATATATATATATGCATAAAACTATCATTCAAATAGAGACAGACTAAGTGATACAGAGGGAAAGAAGGATTATTGCTGCCGTGTTGAAAAATTATGTCTGGTATTTTTCGGAATGATCTCTAGCACTGGGACATCATACCGCACACATGTTGCGTGATGTCTAACCCGGTCAAATTATCCTAACGACAAACAGACCAGTTCAAGCACTAATCTCTTAATGATGAGCGACCAGCAAGGCAGCTGCAAGTACTATTTTTGTCTCAGTTATGAGTCTATATCTTTGAAACAATTTTGATGAATTTATTAACCATCTGTGAAATAGTTCGTCAGTCAAGCTTCAGCTAGACGTACAGATTGAACTTATTCTGCTTTGAATCAATTTTAAAATGAAGAAGAATCAAGGAAAACAAAAAATATCAGATATAATTTTTACTGTGTCTTGTTATTCCAGACGTAGCACCAATCTCTCTCCACATACATACATACATACATACATACATACATACATACATACATACATACATACATACATACATACATACATACATACATACATACATACATACATACATACATACATGCATACATACATACATACATACACACCTGCATATAATGCCTACGTAGATTTAATTCGATGCAAATAATTCAAGCCAGTGTTCCAACATTTTGAGATTTATTTAGATTATAATTGATTTTCACTTATAGAATTGTTATTTCCATCAGAAATTACATACTGCAAAATGGTGTAACCTTGTAACGCATCTAGAGCACTTGCACTGTTATATATGGTGATAAGACAGAAGACTTACCAGGTTTAAAGAGACCTCGCAGACATTTACGTATTTCAAAAAGATTTTTGTTAAAAAAATTAAGTGGACAATTTTCTAAGAAACTCGAATATTTACCTATATCCCTCATTCATTTTTGTATTATCTAGGCCACTTGTGTTTCTATTTTTGTATTATCTAGGCCACTTGTGTTTCTATTTTTGTATTATCTAGGCCACTTGTGTTTCTATTTTTGTATTATCTAGGCCACTTGTGTTTCTATTTTTGTATTATCTAGGCCACTTGTGTTTCTATTTTTGATTGTTTTTTTGCATGCATCAAACCTGTTTCTGGACAACACTAAGGTCTAATGGATATTGGAAACGTCGATGGCCCTGAAGCAAAATTCTGTGTCTAGAGACAATATGAAATACGGAAATACTTTGAAGGAAAGTGAATCACATTACTATTCAGTAATATATATATATACATGTACAATTATCCAATGTAGCCAGTATTTCAGTGTCGCACTATTAGATATACATACATGCTATACAAACATACATGCGTGAGTACGTACCCGGGTACGTACGTACATGCATACATGCATACATACATACATACATACATACATACATACATACATACATACATACATACATACATACATACATACATACATACATACATACATACATACATACATACATACATACATACATACATACATACATACATACATACATACATACATACATACATACATTTTAACCATTGTACAAGCCATAAAAAAATAATATAACAAAATTTTTAAAAATCCATTTTTTATTAACGAATTGTAAATAGCCAGACTTTTATCACTGTACACATATTGCGGTGACTACCACAATATTACAAAGAAATCATGACAATTCATATTAACACCGAGTTCCAGTAAGAAAAATGCCAAGAATAAAAAAATAAAAAGTTAAAAGCAACGATTTGTTGTTTTGCACATCGTCAGGTAATGATCATAACATAAAAATGCATTTCAATACATTCTTTATGAAATGGATTATTTCTTGCACCCGCATGATTTTAACTTATCTGCATGCAGCTGAATGACAGAGTGGTCAGTAGCTCTTATAAAATTGAAGGAACACACTGAGTTAACCGACAATAGCTGGCCTGGGAAAGTCATTAAACTGGGTAATTTTGTAACTGACTCTACCAATTTATTCACCTTGGCTCCGTTTTTAAGGAATCAAGAACAAATTTAATGTGCAATCAAAACATTCAAGGTAGGTCAAAGTAAATGAGAAATGTGTTTGTGTGTGATTGTTTGTTTGTTTGTGTGTGTGTGTGTGTGTGAGAGAGAGAGAGAGAGAGAGTTATTTGGATTTTTATCTTAGCTTTAACTATTTTTCAGTCATATCGCTACGATGTAAGCAGTGTGGCAATTTACAGTGACGTCTAGCACTGTGGCAGACTTGAAGTATGATGTCCCAATCAGTCACATTATCCTGACACCAGAACGACCAGTCCTAACACTAACCTCTTAACGCCGAGCACCAAGCGAGGCAGTTGTTATGACTATTTTTATAAGTCTTTAGTGTGACTCAGCCGGGGATCGAACCCACAACCTCATGCATCAGAGGCGGACACTCTAACCACCGGAAGCCGGAAAGGTCATAAATGAGAAGTCGACCTATGAAAGATATTAACTGATAATTGATGAAACCAGTAGAGTTTAATGTCCATGTAAAGTTGAGTTCCTGGAGATTAGACAGTTCTTTAAGTACCCATGAGCTCAATAATGCAAGCAGTCATATTTATTTGCAGCATATCATAGCCTGAGTAAATATATGCTTATTAATAAAATATTAACCAAGCATGCAAGCAAATTAAGTTAATTTATCATAGTCATACTCATAGAAAAGTGATTAAGTTGGTCATTAAAATTGTACATTTAAGTGATTTTGTATGATATATTTCGTCTGTGATTATCTATATATCATTTAGTTTGCAGACACCTATTTTTGACAGAATAATATACTTTTCACTGGATGCATTCGCAGTTTAATCAATAGAACGAATTTAAGGAAATTGTCATTACGTATATAGTATTTGACATCTTAATTTTGAATACAGATATAGTATATTTTTCACATCATATGCAAAGATAGATGTCACAGGATAAACAGATGTACCAATGTATTAGGGCCTACTGATGGGACATTGATAAAGGGTGGTCAGATGTACCAATGTATTACGGTCTATTGATGGTACTTTCATAGAGGGTGTTCATATGTAGCGATGTATTAGGGTTCAAAATGGGACATTGATAAGGGGTAGTCATATGTGCCAAGGTATTACGGCCCAATGATGGGCCATTGATAGACAGATGTACCAATTAATTAGAGCCCAATGATGGGACATTGATTGAGGGTGGTCAGATGTACCAATGTATTAGAGCCCAATGATGGGAAAATGACACAGGGTAGTCAGATGTACCAATGTATTAGGGCGGAATGATGAAATATTGATAAAGGGTAGTGAGTTTAACAATGTATTAGGGCCTAATGATTGAAGATTGATAAAGGGTAGTCAGATGTACAAATGTATTAGGGCCAAATGATGGGACATTAATAGAGTGTAGTTAGATGTGCCAACGTATTAGGGCCCAATGATGGGAAACTGATACAAGGTAGTCAGATGTACCAATGTATTACGATTTAATGATTAGACATTGATACAGGATAGTCGGATGTACCAACGTATTAGGGCCGAAATCATGGGAAACTGATACAGAGGTAGTCCGATGTACCAATGTAGTATGGCCGAATGATGGGAAACTGATACAGGGTAGTCAGATGTACCAAAGCATTACGGCCTAATGATTGGACATTGATAGAGAGTAGTCCGATGTACCAATGTATTATGGCCGAATGATGGGAAACTGATACAGGGTATTTAGACGTACTAATGTACTTGTACCTATTGGTCGAACGCTGATTACATATTAGATGTCTTTATATAACAGAAGCCATTGATGGGACGTTATACCAAGTTAGCTAGATGTCCTGATATGTCAGGAACCATTGGTGCAACATAGATGCTAGTAATGTTTAATATAAATCTCCCTTTGTTAATTATGAAGTTGAATTTTTTTATATTTGTAGACAAGGATTACATGCAATAAATGTACAATGTTTGGTTGATGCTGATACAATGTATTCACTTTCATAAATCTCTCATGGGATATTTATATGCAAATATTAATTTATTCTGAAAACAAAAGACATATACGTGTTTACTTTTAATAACGAATTCGTGTTTCCTGTTAATAAAAGGAGGCCATTTTGAGCATCTAATAATATGTTGACTGGTATGAACAATTAATACAGCGGCTATAGAAGGATGGAGGAAATAGCTACAATACTTACCAACCATTAAGAGTAATTTTCATCGTGTTAAGTTCAGATATGGAAAATGCAAGCAGCACTGTTAAACACAGATTTGAAACTAAATTAAACTTGAGTAAATCAAACAACTCTCAACAGAACATGGTCAGAACACCATAACATGGTCAAGTGTGGATAATTCATGAATTGTTATATACATGTGTGAAACAAGAGTAAATCAAACAACTCTCACCAAAACAGAACATGGTCAATTGTTGATAATCCAAGCAAGTGTAAATAATTCATGCATTGTTACACATTATGAAACAAAAGTAAATCAAATGACTATCACTAGAACATGGTCAAGTGTTAATAATCCAAGAATTGTTACACACATATATGAAACAAAAGTAAATGGAAAAACTTTCACCAGCACAAAAGATGGTCAAGTGTTGATAATGCAAATATTATTAACAAGAGGCACGAAACAAGAGCAAATCAGGACACTCTCACAGGAAAATAGGCAAGTGTTGATAATCCAAGCAGTCAAACGTAAGAATTAATCAAGTTAACGTCAACAAGCTCTATTCAAAGCATTATCACATATGAATCAATGATATTAATACAAGGTGTGAAACAAGAGTAAATCAACATGCGGCAATTCAATATTATATACACACAAATACTTCACAAATGTACTAAAATTTAATATTTTAATTATTGTCTTAATGAATGTAATCTGCGTCAGACTTATAGAAAATCAAATACCATTGCACTTAAGAAGCATTCATGTTTAGGGCTACTGTCTTATATTCATGTATAGGACTCCTGTCACATATTCATGTATAAAATTCGTGTCACATATTCATGTATAGGACTCCTGTCACATATTCATCTATATGACTCCTGTCATATAATCATGTATAGAATTCATATCACATATTGATGTATAGAATTCCTATCACATATTCATGTATAAGATTCCTGTTACATATTCCTAGCTAGGATTCTGGTCACATATTCATGTAGAGAATTCCTATCATTTATTCATGTTTAGGATTCCTGTCACATATTCATGTCTAGGATGCCTGTCACATATTCATGTATAGAATTCATATCATATATTCATGTATAGGATTCCTGTCACATATTCATGTATAGAATTCCTGTCACATATTCATGTATAGAACTCCTGTCACATATTCATGTAAACAGTTCCTGTCATTTGTAAAGGGCATGGACGAATTTATACTAAACAATAATGGTCTGAAGTGAGAAAGGAAATATCACGAAGAGAGGTATTTTTTCAAGGCACCCACTACAAACCTGACTGATGACTTTCATACTCGAACGTAGCACGGTGGCAGAACATATTTTCGAAGAAGCCTATTTAAACTAGAGTTGCCTTGGAGGGAACGTCTAGAGTGTACCAATATTTTGATAATGATTAATGTGTCTTCCTACAGTTTGAACAATTTTTACGAAATACCTTAAATAAAAAAGTCCAATTACCAGAAGAAAATAGAAAACACAATTCAAGTTCATTAATAATAACCTAATATAATCGTTTATGCATTGTTAGTAGTGTTGTGGGCTGCTTAAGGTCAAGAGAGGGGAGGGGGCTGTCTCCTACGTTTACCAGGATAAACATTTTACTGGGTCTTACAAAATTTAACATTAGGCCAGCGTCTTGGTTGATAGAGTATTCACATAGTGCGTTTATGGGAAGCAGTCTATTTTGTTGGTTCCCTTTTGGCCGGAAATGTGAATTTGTTTTACCTATGACTAAAAGAGCGAGAACAGTAAATGGTAGGGTAGTTTTGTTTAAAAACAATGGTAGTGGAAGGGGGTAGCACATTATTAACATATTTAACAAATCAAATAAGATCACATTTCACGTTAAACACATAAAATGGTATATACTACAAATACACTCACCTTACATTATAAACATACGATATGAGAGGGCAGACAAAACTCACATTTTAAATGGCAAAGAGAACCAATTGTTACACTTTTATAAACAGACAGAATGATCTTATGAAAACTATGAATTAAACTGGCGGCCATATATTAAATTCTCCATAGAACTTATAACGTTGTTTTTATATTTAATATAGAATCCCCCCCCCCTTAATCCTAAAGTAGCCAACTATAATACTGTTTCATTTTCCAAAATTTTATGGAAATTAACAAATTGTATGAAACCACTGATGCAAATTTTACTGAAATGTCCCTCAGTATAAATATGCATTTTAAATATGGTTTAAATCGAACAAACATGTGAAAGAATTAAAGAAATGCTATGGAAATCAAAGCCAGAGAAACAGATAATCAGGTTTCCTGTAAAAGACATGAAATGCCAGAATGCAGACTCATGTTTCCAAAGATCTCATAAATATTGAAATGTTGGGATCCAGTTGGTTTGTTATCCTTGAAAGAGGCATATTGCATAAATCAAAGAAAGGATGGTTAATAGTCAGGAGACAAATTCTCGATGATATTAAATATTTTGCTTGTAGAATAATATTAATAGTTGGAACTATATGATGATTTAAAACGCATATACTAGTTCTGACAAATTGTTTACGGTATCTTTAAATTACTAAGTATATAATATTAAAATCCAATCGTAACTCATTTCTGTTTAATCATGTCGAGTGAAACTGAAAACAACTTTATCATTATTTAAATAAATTGTCTTACTTATTTATATATGTTATCTTTATTTATCTAAAATGTAAAACTTGGTTTTGTTTTTAGGTGTATTCACAAACAGGATGACGGAAACCATTCGATAACAAGGTCATAGATTTAAGGATACTCATGGGTTAAGACAATGATGACAACGAAGATAATCAAAAAGAAGTGATATCTGATGGCCTTTAAACCTTATCAGAAGGAATTTCCTAGGAAGATTTTGAAACACATATTGGTAGTTGTGAACTGCTAGAATGACCGTTTTGTTATGAAAATATCTTGAATTTACAGTTATAAATGCATTATATTATTTGACAGTTGCCATGTGTACAGGTACCAGAGACAGACCGGGGTAAGGGAGTCAGCGATTCGGCGCAGCCACTGTCCCAGCCAACCTCCAACGACAATGAGAGCTAAAAAAATCCCCCAGAAAGTTCCCAAAAGTAAATTTTATTATGCCATCTCCGTGAATGCTTTCAGGGTGTTTGGATTCCCTTTATGACTCTCAACTAGCATTTTCATCCCACGGATCCTCCCCCTCTTTTCCTTGAAAGTGGTCACAAAACTGCATATCACTAGGGTTAAAA